ACTGGTCCTCCTCCCCCTCCTCCTGCTCCTCCTCATCCTCCACCTCCCCCTGCGCCTCCTCCTCCTCCCTCCCCCTCCTCCTCCTCCTCCTCCTCCTCCTCCTCCTCCTCCTCACCCTCCTCCTCCTCCTCCTCCTCCTCCTCCTCCTTCTCCTCCTCCTCCTCCTCCTCCCTTCCCTATTGACTCCTTCCTCCTTCGTCTTTTCCTCCTCCTCCTCCTCATCCTCCTTCTCCTCCTGAGCAGCACCAGCATCTGCGTCATCGTCATCGTCATCGTCATAATAATAATAATGATAATAATAATATTAATAATAATAAAAATAATAATAATAATAATAATAATAATAATAATAATAATCATAATCATAGTCATCGTCAGCATCATAATCAGCAGCAGCAGCATCATCAGCACCATCATCATCAGCAGCAGCAACATCATCATCAGCAGCCTCATCAGCATCATCATAATCAGCAGCATCAACATCAGCATCATCATCCTCATCATCATCAACAACATCATCATCGTCATCATGATCAACAGCATCATCATCCTAATCCTCATCATCATCACCAGCATCAGCATCAGCAGCAGCATCATCAGCATCATCAGCATCAGCAGCATCATCATCATCAGCATCATCATCAACATTATCAACATCATCAGCCGCATCATCATCAGTACCGTCACTATCAGCAGCAGCATCATCAGCATCAGCATCATCAGCATCCTCATCCGCATCATCTTCATCTTCTTCTTCATCATCATCATCATCATCATCACCATCATGATCATCAGCATCAGCATCATCACCATGACCACGGTCAGCATCATTATCACCATCATCACCATTACTATGATCATCATCATCAGCAGCAGCAGCAACTGCATCAGCATCAGCATCAGCATCAGCATCCGCATCATCATCACCAGCAGCATCATCATCAACATCAACAGCATCATCATGAGCACCACCTCACCACCATAATCATCAGCATCCTCGACAGCATCATCATCATCATCAGCAGCATCCTCGGCATCATCATCCTCATCCTCATCCTCATCCTCATTATCAGTATCATCACATCCTCATCCTCGGCATCAGTAGCACCTCTACCACCACCACAACCACCACAATCATCACCATCATCATCATCATCATCATCATCATCATCATCATCATCATCATCATCATCATCCTAGTCGTCGCCTTCGTCATCGTCATCATCATAACCATTATCATCATCGTAATCATCAGCATTAGCATCATCATCTTCATCCTCATGAGCATCATCATCACCATGACCACCATCAGCATCATTATAACCACCATCTTCATTTTTATGATCACCATCATACTCATCATCAACAGCACCACCATCGTCATCATCGCCACCATCATCCTCATCATCATCGTCATCTGCATCGTCACAAGCGTCATCTACATCATCACAAGCGTCATCATCACCATCAACATCAACATCAGCATCACTATCAGCATCACCACCATCGTCAATCAATGAATCAATCAATTAATCAAACGAACAAACAATAAATCAATACATCGTCATCAACAACGACAGTAATGACAGCAGCAACACCAACACCACCCACAACAACAGGCATGTTACCCAAATGCTCCATGATTCTGCATGCAAGATGCATTCATCATGATAGCTCCTCCCATCATGGGGAATTTGGACTTTCACAAGCGGGTGCGATATTCCCTTACACTGATCTTCCGCCCGAGAAGGTCTTGCGAACACCTCTTCCGGGCTCCTCCGAGGCAGTATCTCCAGCCCGGCTGGCACATCGAATCCGCAATCCGCCTGCCCATGACTTGCTTCTGGGTGTCACCACGCCAGAATGGCCTAAAACCTCTGGGAGAGGCCCCACAACCTCTGGGAGAGCCCCCGGAGCCCCTTGGACAGCCTCTGGAGCCCCTTGGAGAGCCCCCGGAGCCTCTCAGAGAAACTTCAGAGCCCCCGTGGGAAACATGAGGGCCCCTGGGAGACGCTTCAAAGCTGAACTGGAAGGTTTCGGGGCCTCTTGAAGGAGGCCTCAGGGCATGTTTGGGAGCGGCCTGGATCGGAAGAGCTTCTGGGCTTCGGGGGGAGGAGGAAGAAGAGAAGGGAGCAGGAGGAGGAGGGAGGAGGGAAGACGAGGGGAGAGGAGGAAGAGGAGGAGGAGGTGGAAGAGGAGGAGGAGGAGGAGGAGGAGGAGGA